CTCTCTACAACCTTACAACAAAGCAAAATTACTCTTCCTGTATGTACAAGACTGTCAGTTCAGTCTTGGTCAGAGTTGGCTCTCAAGACCAGCCCTATTGCACCATCTCCATTCTTGCCCCAGCCTGGCCCTGTAGAGCAGACCTTCTGTGAATCAAAAAGTTCTGTCAGTCACTATGTTGTACAGAACTGAGACCTTGTCTGGACAGCTGACATTCCAGGCTAGCAGACAGATGGACCTGTTCAGCACAAATACTCTTTTCCCTGTGGAGCAGCCTGAGGACAGCCAGGACTGCTGCTGGCCAAGGCATATCAGATAAGGCTGAGTGAGTAACAGGCACCACAAGTTAAGATGGCTGTTTGCCCACAGAGCAGGGGAGCCCAGGACAGAAGCAGCTATCAGGGTTACAGGCTTCAGGGGAAGTGAGTGCAGTAAGGAGGGGAAGCCACAGATCAAGCCTGGAGTGTTTAAACAAGAGAAGGCATCCCAGCGCCTGGTTTTTACTAGCATATTAGTACCTGATATTCATGTTCTCTGAGATTCATCCAACTCACCAACCAGTGAATATTACTAACCTTTCCTGTTGCAGAAAATACTATTGATGAACAAAAGAGAATGTCAAGAAAGTACTTTTTAATGGTTATTTATTTATATTGAATGGTACTAGAGCATTATTAAATATGATGTGAATAGTATGATATTGCATTGTCTTGTCTGCAGCCTAAGTCCTTACTCCTTTTCTGGGAAAACACAGTGGATCTATAATGGGAAAAGTATCTATTTAAAGTGTTCTCATTTCAAGGCTACTCATTTCTCTCTTCCTCTGACCTAAATGTTACAAGTGAAAGCCAAGCAAAAACATTTCAGGTCCCTGAGACGGCTGCCTGCATTATGGAGATAAAGGAAACAGGAGACAGAAGAATACAGTCTAAACTCCACAGTCTCATGGCATCTCGAGCAGTCATTTTGGGCATGGTGCCCATCCCTACTGAGATTACTCTGTAAAGGCGTGACCAGGACTCAGAAGTGAGTAGTGGTCAAAGCATAGGGCAGGCAATGAGTTCTCCATCTGACAGGGAAGGGTGCCACAAGCTGTATTAGTGAAATGTCTGTGTGATAAGAGCCCACTGTTGGCCCTTCCACAAGCCTGGGAGAAGTTTGGATATCCAGAAATGATTTCTAAAGCTCTCACTAATTCATTCTATCCCTGGTCCAAGGTACATGACATCAGCTATCCAGGTTTTTTAACAGCAGGGCATTCACCTCTCATAAACATGGAAGTAGTTTTAAAACTCTTCTGAGGAAGCCTTGCTGAAAATGTAGCATACTAGAGAACAAGCCAAATTCATACCTGTGTAATAAAACATCACATTCACAAAGGTGTTGCTAGAAGAACAATGTGAAGTTTACAAGCTAAGATCCTTCAAAAGGCTGAGAAAGAGCTGGTGTGACCAAAGTACTTGAAACATGCACCTCACTAGAAAACACGGTGTCATGGTTTAAAAGCACCTCACTTCCCAAAAATGAGAGACAGCTCTGCTTGGCTGAAGGCATCCACCTGTAGAAGGACTAATGCTACTTTCCTCTTGCCTTAATGGAAACCCTGGGGGCTGAGAGAGCACTGGATAATGCCCATTGAGCAGCACTGTATGAGCACCCAGCCTACTATAAATCACTGTCACACCAGCTGTTCTTCCCCTCCTCAGGCCCTGCATTTTCAAGGCAAAGCTTCCCAAAGCCACTTTGCTGTACTTTCAGTAAGGATCTAGTGCAGCCCCCAGGAGACAGGGCAGGGAGGGAGGAGAAAGGGAGAGAAAATGAGCAAGCAAGGATGAATCTTATTAAACAGAGTGAGGCACTCAGTCTCTCATCACATTCAGGCCTGATTGGAGGTGAAACCACACTTGGAGGGAGGAAAAGCCCTCTCCCTTGGGACAATCCAGAGGCTTTCACATAAACTTAATTTCAAGCTCTGTTGAAGATGGTATTTGGTTTGGTTTGGGACTTTTTTGTCTGGGTTTTTTTTGGTTGTTTTTTTTTTTTTTTTTTGGGTTTTTTTTTTTTTTTTTTTTTTTTTTGGGGGGGGGGGGGTTTTTATGCATTTCATTTAATTTCCCAGAGAGCTGTGTGAAAATGAGAAAGGCAGACCTTTGACTGTGAAGCCAGCCCGGTGCCTGGTTCTTACAGAACCAGTCTCACATTGCTTTTCTCCATTACTGCTCTCAATAAATCTCTGTGCAAAGGTTGCTAAAATTCCCCCCCACCTCCCTTCCACACTTCAGTGGAGACAGTTACATTATTTTTTTTTTTTTCATTTAAGCAATCCAATTCATTTTTGATTCAAAACACACCCTATTTTCCACAGCTCTGTTTAAAACAGGAGCACTATGACCTTGAAAAGGCTCAGACCTGCTGGCACCATGAAGTTCTGACCTGTACTTCGCTCTTCCTGGCTTTCTGGTGAGGAAAAGGCTCGTGATTTGGTTTATGATCCACTCATTTCAGTGCTGATGGTTTGAAGGGGAAGGAGAGAAGCTGTAGTTGGTTTGGAAGGGTCCTGAGGGAGACAATCTCTCTGGAGATTGAGCTCTGCAAGCCTGCACAGAAACACACGCTGGCTGGCTCCTCTGCAGACAGCTGATCTGCCTAGCTGTATTTAGTTTTCCAGTCTGGAGAACAAATACACACACAGGTGAAAATACAGATTAGGCTAGGCTGTTTCCATCTGATCTGCTTCTTCTGCCCAAGAACTAGCACGGGGTGGCAATTTTTACAACTAAGCCCTGACTACAAGGAAGTTAGCAGTCACTGATGTGGGGCAGCTCTAATGGTCCAGCTGCTCCCTCTCCAAGACAGGGAGGCACACATGCTTTGTCCAAATTCTTCCTACATTGAGATTTCCTACTGTGGCCCAAGGAGGGATTGCAAAAGGATCATATAGCACTACTGGCCCTGAAACAATTGCCGTCTGCAGCTCCAGGTCATACCATGAAAATCTTGATTCCTTTCTTTGTTTCACAGCTGATGCAGAGATTAATTCTTTCCTGTCCTTGGCATTGTACTTGCTGGAGCTATCATCAGAACAGCAAGTGTTGCTTTGTTTTATGGAGGGGAAGGCAAGTAGGGTGGGTTTGCTGTGATTGTAGAGGGAATGGCACAAGAAGAATGTAAACAGTAAAGGCTCATTATGGTGTACAAAAAAAGCAACCTTTGTGGCAGCAGCATTGCATGGATTTCAGTACAGCAAGAGTTTGCCCGGGGAAAATAAATGTTCTCTACATTTTTTATTTAAAAACCCAATTAAGTTAAAATTAAATGTGAAATGATGACAATTTGCATCTAGGCCTTAAGCAATCCGCTTTAATTGAATAATGGTTTGTTCTGCACAAGAGAGTGACTGAGATCAAGTTTCCCATAGATGTGTCCTATACATCTCAGTCCAACTCTGAAGCAAGAGTACTCCCAACTCCTCATAAAAGTGGTATCACTCCCTCCCCCCATCTTCTTGCCATGCCATCCCATTTGGAAGGCAAACAGCAGCACATGCTCCATGAATCACAGAACAGGTAAGACTGGAAGAGACCACTGGTTATCATCTGGTCCAACCCTGCGGGAGGATGGATTGTGAGAGAATAGAGATAGTGCTGAAAGCAATCTCACCCCTGAGGAGTTGCAGCTGTACTAATTACCAAAGAGTAGGAACAGCCCTGCCCTTAATAGGGCACAGCTGTGTCCAATTACGATGGTCCAGTAAGGATGGGTGTTAGCTGGTTGGTGGAGAGTTGGAGTGTGTTGGCTGTGCTGCTGTGAGGAGCAAGGGTCAGGTTGTTGTGCTAGGGATGGTAAGGGTTAGTATGTGCTCCTAGGGACAAAAAGGGTCAGGTGGTTGTGATAGGGACAGGAAGAAGTCAGCCAGCTGTGCAGAAGAAAAGGAGTCAGTGTTGTGAGGAGCTGCCCATGAGAACTCACAGAGAGAAGGTATGAAAGTCTTACAGTAAGATAAACAGAATAATGGTGACAGTCAGTTCCCATTCACTGTTGGCTGGTGCCAAGCACCGATGCCAACTATCGGTGGCCTGTATGGGGGTGAGTTCTGACACAACCCTCCTGCTCAAGCAGGGTCCCCTGGAGCATGTTCCTCAGGACTGTATCTGGACAGCTTCTGAATGTCTCCAGGGAAAGAGCCTGGCAGCCTCTGGGCAGCCTGTCCAGTGCTCAGTGCTGTGCCTGCTCTGGGCTGGCTGCTGGGCCAGTGGCTAAGCCTTGAAGTGCAATGCTAAGCTCAAGGAGCCTGCTCCCCCTCACAGATTTCCTTTTAACCCTCTTCCCAGTACAAACGTGGCCAACACAACTCTTCTTTGTAGGCGTGTAGGAATTTAATATCTGTAAAAAGCCTTTTCCTCTCCTGCATTTAAGCAAAAGCAGGCAAATGGCTGACAGCACAATCTAAGCCCCATCTCTACAAAATCAGGCAGAGAAGAGGGGGCATATAAGCTGAAATTTTTCAGGGCAGCATGGCTGTGGCAGGAGGCCTCTCACAGCGGCCAGGATGCTGTGGTCCTTTTAGGCACTGGCTGAAGTGCATCCGTTCCATAGAATCGCCTAAAGCATCACTTTGGAAAAGACCTCCGAGATCACCGAGTCTATCCTACGACCGAACACCACCATGGCAAATAGCCCATGGCACTCAGTGCCACGCCCGGTCTGTCCTTACACGCCTCCGGAGACGGAGACTCCACCACCTGCCTGGGCAGTCCATTGCAATGTCTACATTTCTATTCATCTCTCCCTGACCAATTTAAAGTGGAGACAATTTAAAGCAGTCGGGTCCTCACCGAGGAGACGACACGGGGTGCAGTTCAGCAGCCACCCCATCCTTCTCCCTCCTCGCCCACAGCGGTGGCCACTGGGGGGCGGGCTGAGACTACATCTCCCAGCATGCCGCGCGGCAGCACGGCTCGGTCGGGGCCCGCCCTGCCCCGCTCTGCATTCTGGGAGCTGTAGTCTCGCCGGAAGGCGGGCGGGGGAGGGCGGGCGCTGCGCCTGTGCCACAGCGAGCCCGTGCGCTGGCCCGGGGCTCCGAGCGGGGTGGCTTTGGCCAGCTCCTTCCTTCCTGCAGCTCGCACCGGGAACGGGAGGTCTGGCTCTCGGCGTCCCGATGAACCCAGCTAGGGGAGCACGCTGCCGCCTCAGAAAGTTGGCGGAGAAGGAGGCGGTCTGCCCGGCGATGTAGCCCTGAGCGTGGCACGGCAGCCCTGGAAGGCAGCTCAAGTCCTCACCGCCCTGATCCCGGAGCATGGGCTAAAACCATGTTCCTCTCGCGTATGGAAAGCCACTGTTTCCTGCTGTTTGTGTTTGTCTTCCAAGCGATCTTTATCCTGATCCTGTACCGAGGCGGACCGTCGCGCGTGTTCCGCGGGATTGTGGAGCCGCCCGGGGCGGGGGATTACTCGAAGCCGCACGATGTGTACGCGAACCTCAGCCTGCTCACCCGCGCCCCGCGGCGCGCCGCCGCGCGCTCCTGCTCGGCGCTCTCCCCGCTCCTGGGTACGTACGGGCGGGCGCTGGGAAAGCCGCGTTGTCACACCCCGGGCCCCTCTCAGGTGGGGCTTCTTCAGGCTTTGGAGCAGGTGTGCTCGTGTGCGCAACACTGACAGCATTTCCTCGTGGTAACAACCCGTGTTGTTTTTATTGCCTGTGTGAGGAAAAGTGTTTTACTATAAATTTCCAGTATTGAGAGTTTGGTTACACAGATGTCAAGATTGTAGAGCAAGAGTGCAAACAGCATGGTAATATATCAAGTTAGTAATGCTTTTTTTTTTTTTTTTTTTTTTTTTTTTTTTTTTTTTTTTTTTTTTTTTTTTTTTTTTTTTTTTTTTAATTTTTTTTTTTTTTTTTTTTTTTCTTGGCAGTCCTGTGTAAAATGACCCAACGATTCAGAAACTGATAATATTGAGCTCTGACTATAACTCCTGGGTTCTTTGTCTTAGCCTTATATCAAGCCTGTAGTTCAATATAAATTGATTAATTGACTTGAAATCAGCTTAAGGAGGATGGCACCTTGCTCTTCATGGTGATCTTCTAGTCTATGATTGTTACGCATCCTTTAGGCTTAGAAACTTCTCTGTTAGACTTAAAAGTCAGGTCACAAGTTATTTTGTATTCATAGCAGAACCAAACCAGAGCTGATCTTAGGAGCAGTGTTCATCCAGCTGTTGCAGTACTAAAACACTTCATAAATTTTAAGTCAATACAAAGTCAAACCTATAAAGCAGGTGTGTTGCTAGTAAAGTGATGGTGCTGCTCAGGCAGTAGTGAATCCCTTTGGCACAGCCAGCCATGAATGGATTAAGTTCCATCAGCATACACTTACAGCTGGTTTGGGGCCATCACCTTCTTTGAGTACTGTGTAGTAAGTTACTCTTGTAGCTTTTTCCATATTGCACAGGTTTCTGCATGTCTAAATGTTGTATACACCTAGCCCTGGACTGCTGTTCTGGGAACGCTGATCACTACACATGGAGCCCATTAGGAGCAAATGGTTGAGCATGGTTCATGTGGAAGTTCTGTGGGAAACCAATGCTCTTGTGTCAAGTTCTCCAGACTTAGGTTGGAGAGCTCTGCTGGGACCCTTTGGATGAGCCTGCTCAGACTGCAATCTTTGTAATGATGCTTGTTCTTTTGAGATGTTTTCTTCCTTCCCCTGTTACTTGCAATTAAATTAAATACAGGATGTATGATGAAATTATAAGGTAGCTTTGAGTGTGTGTTTCAGCATTTCCTCAGAAATGGCTCTACTAAATCCATAAATCCTGATAGCACAGAGCCTTTTTGGGTGCCATGGCCTCAGTGCACTGCAGCCCATTCAGTTCTGGAAAGCTACAACTCCTTCCTTCAGGCTGAATTGTTTTATTTGAAAAAGCACAGCAGAAACGTGACTGCACCTAATTTGTCTCCACTACTGACGAAAGTCCTCTCTCCTAAAGAGTCAAAGGAGACAGCTTTAGTGTCAAAAAGCAAGAACCAAACAATTCTGCAGCTTGCCTGCAAACCATCAGATAAGTAAAAGTAGTGACATGTACAGAGGAGGCAAATGCAGAGTAAAATTACACTAATCTGTGCTCTTAGAGCTGGAAATCTTTTTAAGAACTCTTCTTCTGCCCATCACTGAGAGTAGGGGATCGTCCTGCAGGCGGTTCTTCAGAGCTAAAATGGAAACATGATGTTAGTCACAGACAGAAACAAACAGTAAGCTGGCTGGGAGAAAAAAAAGCCAACCACGAGGCAAAGTAACCATGTAAGCTTTGCTGTTTGAAAATACTGAGTTGAGCATATGAGCCATTGTTGAAGTGAAACACAAATAATTTGGAGCCCTGATACAAATTCAGCTTAAGAAAAATGAGGTCTCTTCTTCAGCTTAACTTTTACTCAGTGGTATTTCCCTGTAAATATAGGATGTAAATTATCCCTTCTATCACTGCATGCCAGCCTCTTCTGGGTGTTTTGCTTTTTTCTTAACTGAGAAGCATGCTGTTTTCTGAGGGAGTTGTCCCTTCTTTTGTATGTGATGGGCCTATATGAATTGAGATATAAATACTTTATAAATGTCTTGAATAGTTGTTGCCATCATCTCTCATGAGGCTGATGTTTCTTGGAAGCATTATATTGCAGAGAGCAATGCCTTTTAATATTAATTTCATAAACTCTATTAAATGAGATTTCAAATCAATTCTTGAGGACTCAGCCTCCTGTTCAGAGCTGGTAATAAGTCACTGTGCCCACTCTAAAGTGTGTTAAAGTACCTGGAAGGATGCCAAATGGCTTAAATGGTTTCTGCATCAGGGCTTTTATGAAGTGCAGCACTTTTTCCATTTATATATGTAGTAGAGATCATTTTGATAACTGTTTGAATGTTAATCAGCTTGCAGCTCATCTGTCTATTTCCTGTCTCCTGAATCTGCAGCAACTTGGTTCTTCCAGGGCTGTGAAGTTAGAATTAAAATATAACTGCTAATCATCTCTGCCTTAGAGGAGCTAGACTTCTGCTGACTAGTGGTACTTTCAAACACCTAGTACTGTGCAGTGAGCATTTTGTGACCAGCAACTTGAAAAGCATTGCAGGTGTTCAGTGTCTTCACTAATATTGTGAATAAATTACTCGAGTTTCCTCAAAGGTTAAAGTTTCTACTCAAATAACCCGTTGCCTGTTTCTTCCTCCTCTGTTTTTAGAAAAAGTGAAGTGTTTGTGAGCCAGGGTTATACTTTGTTAAACATAACTAAATAGTTCAAAAACTGACTTCTTCACATTTCATGCAAGATGTCTTTTTTCAGTTCATCTTTTCTTCTCACTAGGAAAAAGTTTGGTGCTAGAAGAATTTGCTTTATTTTATTATTTCTGGTTTGGTTTAAAGGGGTACCTTCCTTCATGCATGACATGGGCTGAACAAACTGGCTTGGCCCTCAAGGACTTTAATAGCTGAAAGTTCTGTCTGTAACTCTGCTGTTTATAATTTGCTCATGCTATGGAAGGATTTTTTTCCAAGCCCTTCTTATAGTAGTTACTGCCTTTCACTCCCATCTGTCATAACCTTTTCATGAGCAGGACCATCTGTTGTATTAAGTAGCTCCTGCTATATTTTCTAATGCTGCCAGAATTTCTTCTCTTGGATTGAAAGAGAAATAAAAAGATGTCGGTGCTGAATGCTAAGATTTATTTTCAGGTGCCATTGAGGCAGCCTTGTATTCTATCATTAGAAACTGATGCTTAAATGAAAGTTGTTGGTCTGATTTTTTTTTCCCCAAGCCCTGGTAGAATTGCATGAATATGACTCTGTTAAATGTAGTGTGTGGTGCTGCAAGTTATCTGAGTACATCCTTCACCCATGCTCCTGTAGCTTCATCTTGTGTAAGTTCTGGTTATTCTGATTTGGCTTGGTAATTACAGCTGCAAACTCTAAATACCCAGCAGGGAGTTCAGAAGTCCTGTAGTTACTTTCATAAGGTAGGATAGATATGGTCAAAGTCAGTGGTCACCTGTCAGGCAAGTATGTTGCCTAGGAAGTGAAGCAAGCAGAGAGTGCTGTCAGTGGCACCAGTTGACAACACATGGAATTGAGACCTACCTCTGTACACTGAAGTTTCATATTAATTAAATGCCCTCTGTGTGATGGTACAGGCACAGAAACATCTTTGGAACCAGGCCATGGAAAAACTGTTTGGACACTTCAGGGTGTTAATTCTGTACCCTGCCTCAACAGGGATCCTGTGCTTCCTAGTATGTGTAAGATGGCTTTTTTCCTCCTTTTCCAAGGCTATGCTTTGGCAGCTTTATTTATCCCTCTTTGGTCCAGCCTGCAAGTGCTCTGTTCACATTTGGGATTTAATTGGATTAGACTGCATTAGCCTTTTGTTAGTTGGACAGCAGGGAGACATGAAAGCCAGAATGTAGCTTGTAGCCAAGGAGTGTAGGGCAGCCAGAGGTTTTGGGGATGTAAGTCACACTGATTTTTTTATTTTATTTTTTTTTCTTCCCTTGTCATATTCCAGATTGAGTTTCTGTGCTGATTTGTTTGAGGTGTGGAGTCAGGCAGCATGGGAGGACACTATATCTTGAAAAAACTGGAAAATGCAAATGTTAACACTCCTGAATGGTATGCTTGAGTATGGAAGGAGAGGACAGGAGTGAAGCTATTCACATTATCTTACTCATACCCTTACATTCAAATTAAGATCTTATTTTTTCTGGAATTTAAAGATTGTTGCTGCAGAATCTTACTCTGTAATACAGAGTCCAAATTGTTTCATAGAAAACAAAACTCTGCCTTTGTGGGAGAATAAAAGGGATTAATTCCCTTTCTTATTTTTTCCTTAGAGCAGTGATCTTTAGTTGAAATCCCTGAATATAATACTTCTTTAGCAAGCTCCAGCTGTCATCATATCAGTGGTTAATGGTGCTTTAGGTTGAAAGATCTGATAATCAGCAAGTCCATTAATCTAAACAGCAGCATAAACTACAGGTTGATAACATTGTTGGACTGAAACGTGGAAGTCTTAAAGGTGGAAAGTGAAACTGCATGCACAGAGATAGGATATACCACCATGAAATGTTCACTGTAAATGTGACCCAGGTTCATAGCCCACACAATGATTCTCTGAAGAAGCACTCTTCTGTTTCAGATACAAATATACAGTGATGTAATCTGCTTTCCTGCTGCAGGTAATGCACTGAAAATCAAATTCTCCTTTATTTTAAATAGTTGGAGAAGGACTGAAAAGTGATATTTAAGAGTCAGCTATTGCAAAATCTTGCTGACAAGCAAAAGTCAGGCATTCTTTTTAAAAGCAAACTAACAAACCAATGAACAAAACCCACGCAGTGGGATTCAGACCAGATGTTTCTGACAGCATGAGAAATGGGATCAGTGGCTCTTCAGGCTGACCTTCAGGATATGCCATTTGTGTGTTCCTTGAGGAAGGAAAGGAGGCACTTATCAAATACAGGTTTGCCCATCAGAAATGTGAGTTGTACCAGTTTCCGTATGGTAGTAAAATGTTCCCTGGCTCAGAATGGACACTTTGAATTTTATTGCAAATTTAGTCTTTAAGCCTTGTTACTGCTCTAAAAAATCTGCAACCAACCCATAACCAACCAATCAACCAAACCCAAAAAACCCAAACCCCCAAAACCAGTGGAGGGATGTTGATTCCTTCTGTGTCAGTTAAACAGGATGTGGGCGTGGACAGGCTCAATTTTTTTGTTTGCTTTTGTTAGAATTGTAGCAAAGATTTGAATATAGGATGAAATGAAAGAAGTATATTCTTGACTCACTTGCTCATTTAGTCTTAAAACACCCCTGTACCATCTCCTGCTCAAATGAAAGTTCCTAAACACCAAGCCTAAATACTTGCTCTCATGCTTCATTATCAGAACGTTTTTGAGACAATAATTTTTCAGTTGTTTAAGAGGGAGTCTCACTTACAAGATACTGAAAATCTGATTTAAGACAGCCATAGTGTTAATTATCACCTTGGAAAGAAAAGAAGATCATGTTTATAGCTGTTAAAAAGAAAATCAACTACAAACTTGCCTTGCAGACTTCTAGTGCAGAAAACCATTTTGCCCTTGGTAGCACAGCCTGCAAAGAATTTTTGAATGGACCTGATGTTTGAAATTGCCAGCTTCTAATTATGATCTGGGTGAAAGTTTTTCCTTAGTTCATTTAAGCATTGCATGGTAAAATTCTGCATCTGTGTTTTATTTTCTTAAAAGGTCACAGTTGTAGAAAACCATTAAGACACACTGATTTATGTATAAATACAAGACTTCTGCTACTTCTGGAAGCTTTTCTCAGTATCCAGGACAGGCATTTAGATAATTGTAGAATTTGTTTGTTTATATTGTAACAATGAGGTTTGTGTTAAAAAGGGTATTGACACTTTATCTGGATTCTTTTTCACTTATGACTTGTTAGTATTTTTCCATCTGAAGAATGGAAGAATTAATGTAAAAATGCCGTTTTTTTTTTAATTAGGCAGAAACTCTAAGATATCCAATATATTTTGTATTTAAAAACAAAGTGCTGAGTAGAAGAATAGTCATATATTGTTTCTTTTGCTATCCTATGCCTGTTCCTGAGAATATAACATCTTTCTTCTCTGTTGTCATCTGCTTCTCTCAACATTTTGAAGTACTGCCTGCTTATCACAATGTATAAAATGAAATAATACAGTAAATTCAGCCATTATGGCATGTGATTATAACATCAAATAGAACTTGAAATGCTTTTAAAGGTAGAGCTGATATTTTCTAAAGCATTTCTATCCATCCAGGCTTTAAACTGTTTCTCACCTGGCCTGCTGAATATCCACTTGCACATCTTTGTCCTTGAATCTCTTCTGAAAGAGGTTTAGAGAAATTTTCCAAATGGGTAGCAAAAGCAGATGTGTCTGTTCATCTTGAATAATTTCCAACGCTGTTTCTTTAAGATAATCCATTTATTCAAGGATCTCATCTAAGCAACACAAGACTGCCGTAGGCAGCCTGTCCCAGGGAGAAGCAGCTGTGCAGCAGCCCAGTGAGACTTGGTGGCCATGCCAGGACTCGGGAAGCCTGGCAGGCAGTGTGTCCTCCTGGTGCTCAGCTGGCCACCTCTCCCTGCTCCACAGCAAGTGGAGGGATACGTGGCCAGCAGGCAGCAGTGAAATTTATCATGGAGCCACCTCTGTATGGGTGTGGGAATCCAGGGCTTCCCTCTGGCTGCCCTGGAAGGCCTGGGACCCTGGCAGGGGGTCAGGAACCCCCCTGGACAGAGCCCCCAGAGACACTGTCTCTGATCTCTGTCCATGGAAAAGTGTTTTCAATCTTACAGGATGAATTACAAGCTCTGAGTGTTTGATAGAAGTAATAATTAAGTGTGGCATGGGTGCAAAAGTAAAATTTCAGGATTCTACATTAGGTGTCCAAAGGGGACAAGATGGAGGAAATTGGGTGTGTCTTGTCCTTTTTCTCCTTCTTCATGCCCTCCATGTTTCACTGTAGTGTTGGCATTTTTCTATTGGTTCAGGCTGGGGACACACTGTTCAATGTAGGTGACAGATATTGGCACATTATTGTAAATACAGCACAGGTAGTTTCTGGTATATAATGTTTGTAACATCCCACTGAGGGCAGGGCCCCACACGCTGCCCTGCAGGACAGAGCTGCGGCAGGGCAGCAGAACATGTTAGAGATGAGCAAGAATAAACAACCTTGAAAACAGCACAGACAGATTATGGCTTCTTCTTTGGCAACAGGGCAGAAAGACAGAGACTTTCTACAATCTCAGAATCATCAATACCACAGATTCCGACACCTGGGTGTTGTTAACTCTCCCCTGGTGTTACAGTAAAAAACAGAACCCCGACCGGGAAGAAATGATGATGTCTGGCTCAGAAGGCTGAAGGATAGCTTTATTAAAACTATTCTATATTACATTAATATACTATTTAAAGAGATACTATCCTATTCTACATACTTACTTCTTACTTACCTAACTAACAAACTCGTGACTCTCTGCTGAGAGTCTGAGGCACAGCTGGATCCGATTGGTCATTGAACCCAAACAACCTTCACCAAATCCAATCAAGCAACCACTTCAGGTAAACAATCTCCATACCAAATTCCACATGGGGAAAACAAAGATGCAGAAATAAAAATTGTTTTCTCTTCTCTCTGTGCTTCTTCTGAGAGACAGAATTACGTTGCTCTGTCCAGAGAATGTGAATGTCACATGGTGGGGCTGCTGTCTGAAAGAGCAAATGTGGGTAGCTGATCTCATAGGTCTGAAAAAAGGTGGAGAAGGTCACTGATCTTACTACTTCTTTTTTCTGTTTCTCCTTACAGTTGGTCCATTAACCATCAGCTTCAGGGTGCTCCCCAGTGAAAGGATGATCATGAAAAGAAATCCTTTTGTTCAGTCTGGTGGCCACTACAAGCCACCTCACTGCTTTGCCCGCTACAAATCCGCCATCCTTGTGCCCTACAGGAACCAGGAGAAGCACCTTCGCCATCTTCTCTACTACATCCATCCCTTCCTGCAGCGCCAGCAGCTCAGTTACACTATCTACCTGATTCAGCAGGTAAATCCAAGTTAAATGTGCCTGCTGGGAAGCTCAGCTACACCACTTAAGGGATGGGTTCTGAAGAAGAAATGTGGAAATACTGTTTTATGCATGGGCTGCTAGCTGCTAGGAGGTCACATAGCTGTCCCACCTCCATGACTGCTAATGACTGAAATACCGTACCACTTGTCAAGATCATCATTCTGCTATTAATTGGTTCTGTTGAGGTTTTTTTTTCCTGGGGGTATAAATTTGTCACTAAGTGGTTATGCTGGTTTGAAAGTAAACCAGCAGAAATGAATCCCCACAAAATCTTGAGAAAGATTTCAGGTCAGAATTACAACTTAATAGAAAAATTACAATAAATGCATTAATACAAAAACACTGGTTTAAAGTGACAAAGTCAGAGTATAGCCTGTCCCCCTGTTGGTGAGGTTGGTGGTCACAGTCTGATTAAGTGATGGCTGCAGTGTCAAAAACAGTGGTCCTGTAGAAGGTCTGGTCCTCCTCTGGGTCCCTCGAGCATTGGTGGTGTCCCAAATCCCCAGATTGAGATTAAATTGGGTCAGGTTCAGGTGGTACCTCCCCCAGAGCAGGAGTTCCACAATGGAGTGATGCAGCCCTATGAGGGACAGGGTATTTTTGGAGTCCTTGGTGGTTGTTGCTGCCAGATGTTCTGCTGGTGCTGAGTTTGTGATGGCCCCTTAGCAGAGACCTTTCAGGATGGGTGGGACTGTTGCTTCATGGGAGGGAGGTACCACAGCTGAGTCACCGCTGTGAAGAAAAAGAAACATTATTCTGCCTTGCAGGGTTGCCTCTTTTTTCCTTATGTAGCACCCAGCTGAAGCCTGAGGGGTGGCTGTGCACTGGGCAGCTGCTGCAAACAACCCTTCATTAAGAGTTTGTCCCAAAGTGATGTAGAGGAAAGTAGAATACAGAATTTGGTTACACCTCACAGTAGTACTTTCATTTTGTAACCCAGGACAGTGGTAACTTGTATTTTCCTCTTTTTGAGATTTGCATGTGGTTTGTCTGTAGTTTGTCAGTGTGACTACTGAGCAAAACCTGGAAAATAAATGCTGAAGTGCAGCTGTATATTCTTAGTCTGTATCAAATACAAACATGTGGCTTGGCTCTGCTGTCGGGCAGCCTGTGCAGGTCAGGCAGCTTTTTGTACCTGACATGGACTGGTGTTGCAAAAGATCAGTGGCAAGGGAGCAAGTTTTGGATCCATCTGTTAAAACCAGTATTGGGAGGGCAAAGAAGCTTTTTTGTTGGACCAAGGTCTTTTTCTCATTTGCAAGTTTTGGTAAACAATAGGGCAAAAGTGTTGCTGTGCAAATGTGCACCTGAGGATTGGCTTATGGATCTCTTGAAAGTCTGCCTTCTTCAGGTGCCAACAGTGCACAGCCCCTGGCACAGCAAAGCTGACAACTGCTGAGAATGTTGTGAAGAGGATGGCTGACATTCAAAGCTGGGAGCATAGAATTTGCAGCCAGCATGGATTCATTCATTTGAATAAGGCTTTTGGACTAAAACAAATTTTTACTGAGTTATCTACCATCATCTTTGTTGTTTCGGTGAAGAAACTTAGGTTTTCTTTTCCAGGCAGGGACCGGTTCATTTAACCGAGCAAAGCTGCTTAATGTTGGTGTCCGGGAAGCCATGAAGGATGAAGAGTGGGACTGCCTTGTCCTACATGATATTGACCTGGTGCCTGAGAATGACTATAACCTGTACATTTGTGATGAATATTATCCCAAGCATATGGCCAGTGCCATGGATAAGTTTCAGTACACGTAAGTGCCTCCATTTGCTTTCTGTGGATGTATTCCAGTTGGTTGACTTTGTGTTAGCAAGTACGGGTGGGAACAGTGAAAGACACAACCTTTGTGAGGTTTTCTGTGTGTTAGTTTTGCAGTAGTTACTTCCTAGAAAAGGATATTTTTGACCCGAGCATGCAATCTTGAATGTTTCCTTGCCTGTAGTTCCCTGTTCCACAGTTAGCTCTGCTTGGTAAATGACTGGCAGGTTTCTGTTTGACTTTCCTTCAAGAAAAAAATATAAGGTGGGAATATTGGATTATGTGGAATATAATGTGGTAGGATACAGGTACTTCAAACTGATCCAAGATACAAATTTTGAAACTAATTTTACTTTGGTCAGTTTTGGGAGAAGGTGGTGGGAAACAATGAGGGGAATGGAACATGATAGGAATTACACTGGGTTTACTGTTTTGGGGTTTGGCATTGTCATGTGAGTGCCTGCAAGTATGCAATTTATGTATGTGTGACTTGGATCACGCTGTTAGTTGTGGAGGACAGGCATTAGCCTTCAATAGTGTACTCTGTTTTTTGTTGGTTGGGTTTTTTTGGAGGGTGGTGTTTGTTTGCCTGTTTGTTTTCTCTTTTAGTCTGCCATACAAGTCCTTTTTTGGGGGTGTGTCTGCTATGACTCCAGAACATTACATGAAGATGAATGGGTTTCCCAACACGTACTGGGGCGATGGTGGTGAAAATGATGACATTGCTACAAGGTACCAGTGCACAGGACAGACTTGAAATGGATCTAAGCTGGCAAGTGAAGCATAGCAGAACCCTAGGAAAGGAACCAACGACATTGTTCCTTAATGTGCTTGCAGTGCCATTGAAATCCCAAATGCTGTTGGTATTGGGAATGCTTAATGTCAGAATATGCTCAGAACCTGTGAATCCAATCACTATGCTGGGAAAACAAAGCTTTCTCATTTCTGGGGAGCAGAATGTTATTTCACATTCTTGTGCCTTCAGTGCAAGGGGTTATAACCACTTGCAGTTGACAAGTACCTCCACTGATGTTGACAGTCCCAGGGAGGGAAGGAATCTGCAAGGTTGTTGAATAAGAAGGTACTTAACTAATTCTCAGACAGTTGGGAATTTAAGTTAAGTGCATTTAGGTTGCTCCAACTGTTACCTAATCACTGATACTTGGGATTAAGGAACACAAGGAATTCTATCTTTTGTCTGCAGTGCTGGGTGATGGAGGAGCCTGTGTACCAGTGTGAGTCAGTGACAGAAAGAGTTGATGGTTTTTCTTGTACTTTGGTTGCCATGGCAGCAGCATTCTATAGATGAGTTTAGTTCCAGGTGCTCTGCCTAATGTGAATTCTTCAAGTACAGAATCATGGCTGCAGCTTCTTTATTCATCTTTGGAATTGCACTGTGCACCTTTATGATCCAGCACTGAGGCAGGCTCATGGGGAGTTTATAAAACTAAACTGACCATGGAAGCTTTGTTATTTTTATCTTACATAATGTGACAAGTTACAGGAGTTTTTTTCAAAGCAGTATTCATCTGGGAATTGAAAGCCAGATTTTCTAATATAGAATTCCTCCTTTGCCTTTCAGAGAAAGCAAACTAAAAGGTTGTATGGTTGTTTAGAGAGTCAGCATTTATGAAAGGAATAGAATGCCAGGAAATAGATCTTTACATCAAGTACTACAATGCTGGGTGTATTCAGCTGTTCTTAGTATAGTTTAGGCATCTAATTTGGTTTTTGGTACCCGGGGTAGAGTCATACCAGTTATGCATAGAAATGCACTTCCTTGAAGAGAATCCTGGAAGGCAAGTGAATTATATAGCTCCCAGAATAGCCCTTTCTGGAAGGGAATTAGGGCCTATGTTTTCACAGAAAACTCACACTAACGATTAGCAATGTTTTGGCCCAGATACATGGAGGCTGTGGACAATGCCTGTTAATGATTTATTCACATTCTGAAGTCTCAGCCTGCAGAAGTTAGGAATGAACTGGCTGTTCTTCAATGACCAGCTGGGATCTGGATTTTAGGAGGTGCTCAAGCATTCCTTGCCATGTAGCAAAAAAATTAATTAATTTCTTTTTTTATTTTTACATTTTAATGTCCAGTTTTAAAAAATTCTGTGTAAAGATGATTTTTTTTTTCTGGGATACTGCTTATTTAAAGCAGAGTTAATGAAAAAAACTGCCAGCTGCTACTTATAGTCACCAGACTGCAGTACTCTCTAACACAAGTTGTAGCAGATACCAGGATCTACATTTTATTAGAAGAAAACACTATTCTAATTGGAGCCACTCGTGTGTTAACATTTTCAACTACAGGAAAGTCTCCTGGACTCTTCTTAACAGTAAATGAATGTATTAACAATTCAGTTTTAGTCTTATTTGCAATGCAAAACCTAACAGCAAAGCTAGTTTAGTGTACTTGCTTTTTTGTCTCTATGATAAAATGTGCCATAAGCTTATGTTCAGAAAACAAGAAACTGTCTACAACTCCGTGTGAAATAATGGAACTATAACACTGTCAGTGAAGTGTTACAATCATCTGATGGCTCTAGCCTAACAGATATTTTCAATTCTGTAGCCTTTCAGCTTTATCACATTCCTGCTGTATCAGATCCCGATGGAATGCAGTCAAATGCTGCAAACATGCCAGTTAGATAACCTCAACTGAGCAAACATTCATTCTTACATTCACAGGAATTTTCTCTGCCTAAGGGCTGTCCTGTGATAACAGAGGTTTGGTAGCCCTAGCACTATTGAAGACACTCTTTATTGGCAAAGTAACATAGGTGCTATCAGCAGTGGGCTGCAAGTTGCTTGAAAGTCACCCAAAATGCTGGGCTTAGAAGCTCTGTTCTGGAATTCTGAGCCTTCAGTTCCTCTTCTCTTATCTAACTGTACTGCAGCCGAGTTTACATATGTTTGTCTGGTGCCTGTATTTATGCCTAATCTTTTATGAACCACTCTAATCGGGCCATCTGAATGAATGGCACTTCTCAAAGAACAGAGAGGCTTAATCTGTTTTTGAAACTCAGAACTGGCTTCCTTTCAGAAACTGCAAGTTTGAGATCTTTGGTTTTTTTTTTTTTTTTTTCCTTAAAATTTAGGGGATGGACCTCTAGGCAAAAAGCTCTGCTTTTAGGAGGAAGTGGAATAATGCTCATTAGTCAGATTCAGGGGAACTGCTTTTGAATGCTCTGTATGTTGTAGTTCATTCCCTGCTTGCTTTAATCCCCCTGTGCCCTGTCAAAGTGCGCTGCAGCTGGGAGCTTTCTAGCCCAAGCCTGGCCTAGAGCCTGCTAGAGAAGATCATGTGGCCCTGTGCTGCTTCTGCCCTCTGTTTTTATTGGATTAGCACTGAAAATTATCTCTGACCATAAGCCTGGAAGTGGCATCTCTATGCCCAAGCAAACAGTTTTGTATGTTGTTTTAAAGGATTCACTTGGCAGGAATGAAAATAGTCCGGACATCACCTCACCTTGGACGCTACCGAGTGATGGACTACAACGAAGAGACAGAGATCCAGGAGCCTTGGAGGAGGTACCTGGTGGGGCTGGGGGCGACTCTGGGCCTTGTGGCAGCTTGGCTGTTGCTGTCATCTTCCCCAGCACAGGCTACATATGCCTCATGGCACTGCTGCTTTTTCTGCTTTAGGAAGGCTATTTAAAAGCAGCCCCCAGTCAGTTTCAACTGAATCATTCAGTTCCTGTCTTCACACTTGAAGGGTTTTGTCTAGTTTCCTGTCTTTCCTTCCTATTGTGAAGGACACATGCCAGCTAGCACATCAGATTTAAACATTAAATTGTACAAGGAGTAAAACTTAAAGAAAAAAATACTGCTTGCCTTAAAAATAGGGAGATTCCAGTTTGAAGAGGCACTGTGTTACAAGTTCCCAATATTAAAACCTTGCTATTCAGTCTGTGTGGAGTTACAAGGTGCCATTAAAATAGTGGAAGGCAATATTCTAGTTTGAAGACATGAGAAAGGTGCTGTGAGAGACTTTATCAAAGACTGTTTTATATAGAAGAGCTGGAGGAGGGTGTTGGGTCAAGTATGGTAGAGGCTTCTCATAGCAGCAGTGCAAATTTCTCTTTATCATCTCAAAACTCAGGTTTCCATAACAACCCTGTCAAAAACCTACCTACAGCAGCCTATGTACACCGTGGCTGCAAACTTCTGCGTTGCACTCCCAGCTCTCTCTAAACTGCTGACAGCTTCTTGGTTTTTGGAGACTCTAGCTGCCACCTCGCTGGTCTCCCTCTCTGATCAGGGTCCAGTCCGAATCATTCTCCTTGTTTGGAATACGCAATGTGAACTCCCTCTAATCTGTTCAGACTGTATCATGGGAAGAATTGTCTTGGGGCTTTTCTGCCTTCTGAAGACACTTTCTTTTGCAGCTTCAGCTGCAAATGTTACCTTCTTTCTTCTAACTGTATGTATTCTTCCTCCCTCAGGCCTCCTTCCCAACACAACACCAGAAAAACATGGAAAGCCGATGGAATGAATACATTACAGTTCAGGCTCATTTCCAGGATTAAGCATCCTCTCTATACCAAGATCACTGTGGACATTGGATATGTTCCTCCATTTTCTTAAGAGGCTGAAAACAAAAGCAGAGGCTGGGTGCCACATGAGCATTCAGCCAATCCCTCCTTTTCCTGTGGTGTCTGCCCCACCTGAGATTAACCCTTTTGCCTTTCACTTTTCTCCAAAATGTTCTGGATTTAGAAGAGGCTCTAGGAACAGGGTACGATGGCTACTAAACAGTCTGTGGCTTACTGTAAAAATTGTCCAAGTCACTGTAAAACAGACTCCTGAGCCATATCTCTGTAACAGTAAGCCAATCCAAGCTTTCTGGAACCTTTGTTCAGTAGCTGGATAGCTCTGTCCTGCTTTGTACTTAAGTGTTAATTGGGATGCAAGCCATTCTGTCAGAGTGGCCTCTGACGTGTTGTATTTTGAGAAGGTGTTAAAGCCATTTACAGTTCTATAAATATCTTTTGTGAATTTGAGTAATATACATGGAGTTATGTGTTTGGCTTAAGAGTTTTATAGAATACTGTAACAAAAAAGAAAGTTGCCCTGAAACCAGACAAACCAGTTTTTTTTCTGACCCAAACTGCCACTGTTGAAATTATTTTATTGTAGCTGCAAGTAATGCAGACTGAGTGGGACCTGAGGCTGTCACCTAGTCTGACCTCCTGCTCAGAGCAGGGAAATTAATCTACCACTACAGCTGTTGCTCAGACATTAAGTATCATTCAAGGCTGAGCTGCCTTCAATATATAATACTTCTGAGAAATTAAATACTAGTTTTTCCTTGAAGTCAAAACATGTCAACAGTGGAGCTGTGACCCTGGCAGGAAAGCACTTGTACTTACCTAACTGTGAGACTGACACAGTCAGCCCAAACCCTTGCCCTTCCTGTAAACTTACTTTCTCTGCCAACTCAATCTATAGCACTGTCTGCCAGGTGCAGTTATTTTAAGTGTGACACAGGGTATTTTGGCTTGTTACTTGAAGATACAAAAACTCCATCATTGAAAAGCTGCATCTGTGCCACTATAATTACAAATGTTTAGTTTCAGTCTTATCCACAATTGGAATAGTCCTAAAATAAACTCTGCCAAGCCTGGCTTCACATCAACATGTAAAGACAGTTAAATACAATGCAGTAAATGCAGTGCTCTGCTCAAAACTTCTGCACAAATGCAGCAGCACAGTGGAACAGCTGGTTATCCACAGCCTTTCACCTGTTTCTTAACCAAAACTCACAGATGATAATGGCCTGGGAACGTATACAAGTACACACTCTGCCAACAGTGTGGCCCAAAGCATTAAAGTATGTGGAGTGGAATTTCTCCCCCTCCAACACAGCTGGCCACTGCCTTTCCTTCTTGATCCCTGGAGAGTAACAGGCAGCCTGCTGCAGAATGAGATTGATCACTGCCACGGGACATGGCAGCAGTCCCTCAGCAGGGGACACTGTGGTGCAAAGGATGAGACACTGGAGTTCAGTGGACTGCATTTATTGAGAAATTTGTAACATCTCCTTACCCATTACCATTACTGCCCTTCCCTCACACATGAGCAGTTTTTCCTTAGGCCAGAAAAAATTAACTTTTCTCATCAAGTTTGTAGCTCTTGAAGACTTATTGTGCTTTTAATGAGACCACAAATAGCTTTAGAAAGAGTTGCAAAACCAAGTATTTTTTCAGGGATTTGGTTCAAGTCCTTGGACCAGCCCAAACAAGGACACATTTTCTAATGTCCCAGCAAAAAGTGCATAGAAGAACACAAGGACCTGTCCCTTGGGTAAGTCTGTAACTCCTCAGAAAAGGAGGACTTGGATAAGTCCTCACAAAAGGAAACTCTCAACCGCCCAATGAAATGCTGTGAAGGAACACTTTACTTGCTCCTGTGCTACTGAAGGACTCTTCCAAGCAGGTGCTGGAAGTCATCTGCTCTAACAGCAGCCACAAAGGAGATCTGTTGCCATTCCTGTAACCTGGGAGGTGCTGCCCCCTATGAGACCTTGGGCTGCACGCTGAAGTCCACCGTGATGTTGCTGTACAGCGGGTTGTGTTCCACAGAGAGCAGTTTATAGGAACAGGAATTCAGCCCGTCTGTCTTCCATGTTCTAGAGACCTGACGGAGAAGCTTCATCCTGAGGACAAAAAGAAGAAAAATCTTCACGGATGTGCACAGGAGTTTTGAGCTCTTTCCCAATGGTAGTAAATTTGGAAGCAAAGCTACTGCTATTTTTTATCTACTGGAAATACAAAGTCCTGTTCCTGTTTCCAGCACAATCATATATGGGGAGAAAAATTCTTTGGCTCAATCTCTGAAATCATGTTTAAATCATACCTATGTAAGTGTAATTTTGGAAGTTTCTAGAGAACACCACCCAGTCAGTTCTAGGAAGATCTCATGTTGAGAAAACAGCTACTAGCTGTGAACAGTGTTGTCATGGGGTGGGTGTTCCCCAGAGCCTCTGGGTACCACAAAAAGCCTGTTTGGCCTGGAGCAAAGAACTTGTCCCCCAGGTGCCTGGCTCAGCCACAGACCATGACAGAATAAACCTGTTCTTGACCCACCTCTCTCGATTCTCCTCATTACCATGGTCACGGTTGTGGAAGATCATCGTGTACCTGGCCACATCAGCAGGTGGCCTCACCACTTTCATCTTCTGCATCTCAACCCTGCAAGAAGGAGTAAGAAGTGTTGTGAGGAAGACAACACCTATAAACCAGCTGTTAACGAAAAGACCCAACAATTGGAGGCTTCATTTCTTGTAGATGCTGTGGAAGCAACTACAGAGTTGTAAAAGCTCATCTGCATCTCTTTCACAACCCATTTTGCAAGAGAAATGAGGCTCAGAGTTGCATTCCTGGAGAACAGATCTGGGGGGGGGGGGGTGAGAGATACATCTTTCTTTTGAACAGAAGCAGGTAACTACAGTAGAGATGTAGAGCTTTAAGCACACATTATACAACAGAGCACATTTATATCAGTATTGACTGGACTACTGTGTACTCCCTGTAGCAAGTCTCCACATGTTCTGCAACAAGTTAATCTCAACCCCTGCAATAAAACCCCTATACTTGCTAGTTCTCCAAAAATAAATTAAAAGCTTGTTTTCTTTTTTAGTAGCTGCCAGACAGCTGCAAAACTCTTATTTGTTCATATTAAGAGAATTTCTCTGAGAACAATGCCAGAAGCACTGAGCCCTGTGCACAGATTTAAATGTCTGACATCAGACATTTAAATACTGATACACACCCCACTGCTCGCTAGTTGGAGCTTTTGACCCTACATATATCTGTGGAGCACAGCTTTGCCCTGACAGCAGAAAGGAAGAAACTTTTTAACAAGGGAATTAAGGAATAGTCCACCTCTTTGCTAGTTACTCATCAGCTGAAAGAGAACTAGGAAACCAAGATTTGAAAAAATTGAGCCCCTTAGAGATTTCCATGACTTTGTAGCAGTAAATTATCAAAGAATTACAACAAATGATCTGAAGAATTTCTCTGTGATACATGCCTTAGGAGGGGCCCCAAGCGAGACCATCACCTTTGTTCTAGAGGCAGATCAGCAGAATATGAGAGTCCCCAGCCCCGAATTCTGAAAGCACCGAAGGGATGCTGCCATCTGCTGACTTCCCTCGGGAGGGCACCAAGGATCTCTGCACAAAAACCCCAGACAGCAAGCTTGCCATTACCTACCCCTGCAAACTCGGTCACCAGCCAAGCCCAAGGCACAAGCCAAGTGCAGCTGCAGAGCACACACTGGGTCAGGACTTGGTTTCCCACCAAGACCTCAAGAGCTGCAAAGTTACAAAGTGCCACACAAAGGCATCACTTATTTCCAACCCCTTTCAAATGTCACAGAGACCCTCTGTGCAAATCCCTCAAGACCCTCAAGTAAATCTTGTTGTCCTGCTGTCCATGGGAATATTTGAAACAACTATCACCCATGGGAAGCCAGGGGATAAAATAGCACCAAGCCACCCCCTAAACTATAAAAATCAGCTCCCAGGAGGTCATAGAGAACTTGGTGTGTCTAGGCAGGAGTAAGAAGGAAAAAATAGTTGTGGTTAAGGGACAGAAATCCATACCTGAAGCAGACCTTTCAGATTTCTTCAGACAGAGCTGACCAATCTGCTGAACTGACACTGAGAAACACTATTCATTTGGAAGTTCCTAACTTCTAACACATTTTTATCCCCTGTGTATTTACATAACATCACCAGGGATAGAAATTTTATGTCAGTGAAATGTATGTTTGCATATTACAGCAACCAAAAAGGATAACAAGTTAAAAATGACAGAGTATAAACCAAGTTACAAACTGATAGGTTCTGCCAGCAGAGCTTGTGGAGTTGTGGGTTCTTATCTGCTGTTTGCTTGTGGCTTTTTCTGCATTTACTAATAGCAATGCAGGATTAGAGATTTATTCCTAAGCAAAGGGCAAAAGATCAACATAAATTTTGGTTGACTTCTTTGTCCCACTAAACCTCTCCAGCCAACAGGTTTTTCCTACTTTGACAGGTACATCTGCAAAATGAATTTTCACAAGAGCAAAGGGCATATACATATATGTGTAACCTTTCTAAAATTCAAGTTATTTGCTATCTTTCCTATAATCAACACTACACAAATACAAACTAAGCCCTACTTGGAGTAAATCCAGTAGTCAAAAATGCAAAACACCCAGTCCCACCAAAACACTCCCACATTCTAGCAAAGCACTGGAACTCCATACATTTGTGCTTCTCTGGCAAACCACACTCCAGACTTCAATTATAACCAATTTCCAAGTAAGAATAAAACTGCTGTGTGTCTGAGACGAAACCAAACCAACCCAACCAAATAACTTAACCCACACCCCAAAAGTGGTGTGAGGAAGAGGACTGGGCATCAGACATACCTAACCCTTGCAAAGAGGAAACTGCTCACAGAACTGCATCTTGGACTTCACATCTCCACTGCAGTACTGTTCAGTGCTGTTCTGAGTGAAGGCCCCTGGGGTGTTTTGCTCTTGGAGGCTTAGTGTGAAGTTGGGTCAATTTTTAAAATTTCTTAAAACTAGGTCTTCCTTGTTTACCTGATTCGAAGGTCATCATCTTCTCCACCCCAACCCCAGTAGTTGTTAGAAAATCCATTCACTTTGGAAAACTGATCTCTTGTAAGAGCAGTTACACCTCCAAAATATCCCCGGTACCGTAACCTAGATGTACAAGAAGAGAGAATGAAAAATTAAACATCAAATTTCATCAAAAATGAAAACATCACCCTGATACTCCAGATCTAGACTTGTCTTTCACAGGGTTAAGGGTGCACAGATCCACAAAGCCAGTCCTGCTCTCTTCCTCTTTTCACAAAAAGATGGTTATTTGCTTTAGGCCAGAAAAAGTTACCTCTCCAACTGAGAGAACAGAGTCTTATTCAGAAGCTTCTCTCTCTTTACACAATTCCCCTGCCAGACAAGTAGATACTTCCTTTCAGGGACTCTCAGGTATAGAAAAGCAACAAAGCTATGCACTAATGTAGTGGAAGCTCTGCAATAACAACAGCAAGCCACTGATT